GGGACTACACAGGCACAAAGAATTTCCTGCATGGGGTTCAGTGGGACAGAACTGGCAGGGAAGTCAGTAAATGAGATGATGGAATATGTGACAACAATATGCAAGGAAGCTGAGAAGAGGTTTGTACCCAAGGGTAACAGGAATAATGAGAAAGCAAGGAGGAGCCCTTGGTTCACCCGAAGGTGTAGAGAGGCAAAAACCAAGTGTGCTAGAGAATGGAAGAAGTATAAAAGGCAAAGGACCCAGGAGAATAAGGAGAGCAGTCGTACAGCCAGAAATGAATACGCACAGGTAAGAAGGGAGGCCCAACAACAATATGAAAATGACATAAAGGCAAAAGCCAAATCTAATCCAAAGCTGTTGTACGGCCACATCAGGAGGAAAACAGCAGTCAAGGACCAGGTAATTAGGCTGATGAAGGAAGGAGGGGAGATCACAAGAAATGACAATGAAGTATGTGAGGAGTTCAACATGAGATTCAAAGAAGTGTTCACTGACGAGACAGAAGGGACTCCAGAAAGACAGAGAGTTGGGGTACACCATCAAGTGTTGGACACAATGCATACAACCGAGGAAGAAGTGTAGAGGCTGCTAAGCTCAAAGGCGATGAGGGCCAGATATCGTCTCTCCATGGGCCCTGAAAGAGGGAGCAGAGGCTTTGTGTACAACTAACAACAATATTCAACACATCTATCGAAACAAGGTGACTACCTGAGGTATGGAAGACAGCAAATGTGGTCCCATATTTTTAAAAAGGAGACAGACACAAAGCATTAAACTACAGACCAGTGTCACTGACATATATAGTATGCAGAGTCATGGAGAAGATTATCAGGAGAAGAGTGGTGGAGCACCTAGAAAGGAATGAGCTTGTCAGTGACAACCAGCATGGTTTCAGGGATGGGAAATCTTGTGCCACAAACCTACTGGAGTTCTATGACAGGGTGACAGCAGTAAGACAGGAGAAAGAGAGGGGGGTGGGTAGATTGTGTTATCTTGGACTGTAAGAAGGCATTTGACACAGTTCCACACAATAGATTAGTTCAAAAGCTGGAGGACCAGGCAGGGATAACAGGGAAGGCACTGCAATGGATCAGGGAATACCTGTCAGGAAGACAACAATGAGTCATGGTATATGACGAGGTGTCAGAGTGGGTACCTGTGATGAGTGGGGTTCCACAGGGGTCAGTCCTAGGACTGGTGCTGTTTCTGATATATGTGAAGGACATAATGGAAGGAATAGACTCAGAAATGTCCGTGTTTCCAGATGATGTGAAGCTGACGAGAAGAATTCAATCAGACGAGGACCAGAAAAAAATGCAAAGGGATCTGGACAGGCTGCAGGCCTGGTCCAGAAACTGGCTTCTGGAGTTCAACCCCACCAAGTGCAAAGTCATGAAGATTAGGGAAGGACAAAGAAGACTGCTGACGGAGTACAGTCTAGGGAGCCAGAGACTACAAACTTTACTTGAGGTAAAGGATCTTAGGGTGAGTATAACACCAGGCACATCTCCTGAGGGGCACATCAACCAAATAGCTGCTGCAGCATACGGACGCCTAGCAAGCCTAAGAATAGAATTCCGACATCTCGGTAAGGAATCATTCAGAACCCTGTACACCGTTTATGTCAGGCCCATATTGGAATATGCAGCATCAGTTTGGAACCCACACCTGGCCAAGCACATCAGGAAATTAGAGAAAGTGTGAAGGTGTGTAACGAGATTAGTCCCAGAGCTAAGGGGCATGTCCTGTGAGGAGAAGTTAAGGGAAATCAACCTGACGACACTGAAGGACAGGAGAGACAGGGGTATATGACATTGACTTAAAATACTGAGAGGAATCAACACGGTGGACAGAGACAGGATGTTCCAGAGATGGGACACAGCAACAAGGGGTAACAATTGGAAGTCAAAAACTCAGATGAGTCACAGGAATGTTAGGGAAGTTCTTCTTCAGTCATAGAATTGTCAGGAAGTGGAATAGTCTGGAAGGTGGTGTAGTGGAGGCAGGATCCATACATAGTTTTAAGGTGAGGTATGATAAAGCTCATGGAGCAGGGAGAGTGACCTAGTAGTGACCAGTGAAAAGGCAAGGCCAGGAGCTGTAAATTGGCCCCTGCAACCACAATTAGGTGAATTAGGTGAGTGCACACACACTGGAATAATCTGAAGAGTGAAGTAGCTGGGGCAAGATCCATACATAGCTTTAAGAAGAGATATGATTTGGCTCTTGGTCTGGGGAGAGAGTGACCTTGTAGCAACTAGCAAAGAGGCGGGGCCAGTAGCTGTGAATTGACACCTGCAAACCCAAATAGGCAAATACATAATCTCAACATCATGGTTAAGTACTGCTTAGAGTGAACTTGGTCAGAAAATTGATAAGACTTTATATAAATTTTATACAAGAAGTTAAGAATTTATTTGAAATAACATTTGGGGAACCCACAGGGCACAGTATCTTAGGTGACTATTCACTTAACTTGTTTTCATATGTTATACTGTGTACTATGCAGCTTTTTAATGCAGTGGCAGCACCAAAGGGAAACTAAAAACCCCATAATCTTCATCAGCTTATCCAAATAATAATAAAGGAATAATGATAATTGTGATTTTAATAATGCAGCTTCAAAAATAAGACCTCTAGCCCACCCTTCAACCAGATAATCATTGCTTAATTAAGCCCTCCTACATGGAAATTCTGGAGGTGCCCCTGTATGTCTGCTTCATCACTGCATGTCTTGGTAGTCAAGGTAGATGTTCATACTAAGTTGGATACAGTAAGTAACAATTTCCTTGTAAAAGTAACTCCAGCCAGGTTAGAAGGATACCTTGAAATCTGCCTTAGCTGTTGAACCTTGAGTGAAATGCTTGATATCTTTATTACTCTGCAGAAGTCTCTCAGTTCAGGCTGGCAGATTTTATTAATTTGGGAAATCATCCTGTTTGGTGGGGTATGATAGGTAAAATCATCCTGCATGATTGATGCATTAGGTAAACAGTTCTTTCTTTATTTTGTTTATTTTTATTAACATGTTAGCTGTTTCCCACCCAGGTAGGGTGGCCTGAAAAAGAAAAACTTTTACCATCATTCACTCCATCACTGTCTTGCCAGAGGTGAGCTTACACTACAGTTATAAAACTTTAATATTAACACCCCTCCTTCAGAGTGCAGGCACTGTACTTCCTATCTCCAGGACTCAAGTCCGGCTTGCCAGTTTCCCTGACTCCCTTCATAAATGTTACCTTGCTCACACTCCAACAGCACATCAAGTCCTAAAAACCATTTGTCTCCATTCACTCCTATCTAACATGCTCATGCATACTTGCTGGAAGTCCAAGCCCCTCACACACAAAATCTCCATTACCCCTTCCCTCCAACCTTTCCAAGGCTGAACCCTACCCGCCTTCCCTCCACCACAGATTTATACACTCTCGAAGTCATTCTATTTCGTTCCATCTTCTCTACATGTTCGAAACACCTCAACAACCCCTCCTCAGCCCTCTAGGCAATAGTTTTGGTAATCCTGCACCACCTCCTGATTTCCAAATTACGAATTCTCTGCATTATATTCACACCACACTTTGCCCTCAGACATGACATCTCCACTGCCTCCAGCCTTCTCCTTGTTGTAACATTCACCACCCATGCTTCACAACCATAAAAAAGCGTTGGTATAACTATACTCCATGGACAAAGTTCTTCGTCTCTACAAACTCCTCAGTGCACCACTCACCTTTTTCCCCTTGTCAGTTCTGTGATTCACCTCATCTTTCATAGACCTGTCTGCTGATAGGTCCACTCCTAAATGTCTGAATACATTCACCTCCTCCTTACTCTCTCCCTCCAATCTGATATCCAGTCTTTTGTTCTTTCGTTATCCTTTTAAAATGTTATATAGATCAAGGTATCCACAGTGTGGTGTACATTTCCATTTCTGTTGATGATGATGATGATGATAATATTGAGAGAAGCTATGTAACTCCAAAAGTGTGTGTGGCACACTTGCATGAAAATATTCAGTATCAGGTGAGTATTTTAATATCTCACATGTTTGCATGCCTGCACATGCACACATTTAATAGGCATCTTCATTAACATACCACAAGGAAAGAGCAACCTCTAATATTACCTCAGCATCCTGATTTAGAATGGGTCTGCCTTCACTCACTGTTACGTAGTTATTTTATTAATGAAAGATAAATTGTAATTATATATTGTTGCATATTGTTCATATGTACATTACTGCCTTTTATTTCCCAGCTTTAAACATCTGTGTACAGTACCTCGTAAATGACAATTTGTATTTTACTTGGACAGTGCTATGCCCTTGGATGATCTTTGACCCTTTTTTTATTTGTATGTGTTGGGTTATTAAAGGGAAATTCTTTTGTAAAGTGGGAGACAGGTAAACAATCTTACAGCAGACTCCATACATGATAGCTTTGGGAGTCTTTAAATGGTGATGGGGAGTAATGCAAAAATGGCTGCTCATAACATATGCTAGACTAAAAATTGGAATGTGCAGTGATGACGTGGTGTCGTCACCTAAAAAAAAATGTGTACGATTTAAGAAAAATCCCAGAGGCTTGCTGCAAAATGGTTTCAGAACTGGAAAAAAAGGAGTAATGAAAAAAGGGTAAAAGCATCAGATTTGCCCTCATTGGCTGATAGGAGGAAAAGATATGATAGCTATATATAAGATTATGAAAGGATGCTGTACTTGACATGGTAAGACAACAAGACAGTACAGCCAAGACCTGAAAGTTCAGATAGATCAAAGTATGAAATGTTCTCAACCCTTTAAAGCCAATATATTTATTGGCCTACCCAAGGAGACCAATAAATAAAGTGCTTGCCCAGTGTAGGGTTAACCCAATACCTGTGTCTGAAGCACAGGGCCACCACAGTATACATCGTTGATATGTATAAGTTATTTATCACCATAGGAGTTGCAGAAAAATTAACAAATGTGACTAATTTAGTTGCTTCCTGCATTTCAGTCTGTACCTGCAGTGTTTTCATATCCTCCGCATCATCAGGACTAAAATGTGAGGATACTGGAGAAAACGTTCATGTACAAATTGAGAGGGACTCCAAGCTTCATATTTCCTTTGCCTCCTCCCATTTGCACACTCAGGGCTATGAGAGGAAACTAAATATAATATGTACAGTACCTTGTGGATATTGTACAGCCTCTCCTCACTTAACAATGGAGTTCTGTTCCTAATACCGCTTTGATAAACGAATTCTTCATTAAACAAGGAGCATACTATAATGGTAGTGGGTTTATGTCGACCATCTTTGATATTGCTTTAATGTCACCCTTACACCATTTATAACATTTTTAATATATTCTTAAATGTTTATATAGTAGTGTACTGTATATTGTAATAAACAGAATAGAGGAAATGAGCTCTAATGTATGTTACAGTAGTTAGGTATTCATACTGGTCAGAGAGCCCGTCATAAGTCTGAGTTGTCGGTAAATGATTATGTCGGTAAGTGAGGAGAGTCTGTATATACCATCCATTAGACTAGTTGTTAAATTTTATTTTGTGATAAATAAATGACTTGCATTTTTTGAGTTGACAGGTTCTGTACTTGTCTGAAAGATACCACGACCACTATTTACATATCCTCTGGTTCTCTTATTATACATGATCAAGGCTAAAGAAATTAAAGGAACCTGGGTATAATGTGTATATAGTACTTACTTCATTTACCCATACTGAGTATCTGTGGTTCGATCCCTGGCAAGGGTGAAAACATTGGGCATGTTTCCTTACACTTGCTGCCCCTGTTCATCTAGCAGTAGGTAGGTATATAGGTTTTAGTCGACTGTTGTGGGTCACATCCTAGGGTGGTAGTAGTATATCTTAGATAGGGCTGGGTTTTGAAATGAGCTAAGGTAGGAAAACAGTTCTTTGCTTGTAAAATTGATTTGTGTAAAAACAAGAAAGAAGAAAAAATGACATGTGAAGAGTTGTTGATGTTAGTGGCAATGTTTAGGACCACAACAGTGTGAACCTTGCACCACCCTCTGTTTCTTACTATTATTTTTATTATTGAAAATGTAAGAGAAATTATATTTTTTTTTTTTATTTAATAAAATTTATTAATTTATATTAAATAATTTATATTTACTGGCAATAAAAAATTCCTACCTTACCTCTCAGAGGTAAGGTAGTACAGTGGACCCCCGGCTTACGATCAGCTCCCAACTCGAACAATTATGTAAGTGTATTTTTTTAAGTGCTTTTGTAAGTGTATTTTTGGGGGTCTGAAACAGACTAATCTAATTTACAATATTCCTTATGGGAGCAAATTCGTTCGGTAACGGCCCCTGAACAGACTTCTGGAATGAATTAATATCATAAGTCAGGGGTCCACTGAAATTTGTATTGACACACCTCATTTAAAATGTTTATCATATTTACTTTGTTAAGGCCCACTAAATATGGGTTTTTTCTCATTTGTTTTTATAGATTATCCCCTCTATACATGTATATAAAATACATACTTATAATTTGCATCGCCTGTTTGGTTTCCTGACAAGGAGTTGGATGAGTCAGTTTGGTTCTGTTGTGCTGTAAAAAATTTTCTGTTCTTTTGTCTTATCATTTATGTACTTTTTTAGGTCAATGAATCGAGTATTCCACATTGATTGCATTAGTGAGTTTCATAATAAAAACAGGGATCCAATTTATTTTTTAATGATAATGAAGACAGGCATCTATATTATGCACAGTACTATATTTCCAGCTATGATGACATCACTTGCCATTGGGTCGACATTCCTGTTATCAGTATTGGCAGGTGTGCTGACAGACAACTTGGGTATCCGTCTCACTACTTTCATTGGTGGAGCCATAGCTACTGCTGGCATGTTCATCTCTTCCTTCTTTTCTGATAAATACGTGGCTCTTGTGCTGGGTAGTTGTTTAGTACATTTTTCAGCATGCATAACTTTTTATAACTTGCAGAGTTGTTGTTAATGTTTAGTAAAATTTCATCTCTCTGTTTATGTAGAGGTGCTGTATATCTACAAGTATATATGTGTCTCGTTCCATGTACAGTATTTATTGATTACAATATGTATCTTTGTGGCCCAATGCTTGCTGCAGTATACAGTAGGGCCCTGCTTTACAGCATTTCGCTTTACAACATTCTGCTAATACGGACATTTCAAATTATGACCAAAACTTGCTATACAGCTCCCCCCCACTTGAGTTTTTAATATGGTCACCGCGCCCCACCCGGTTTGTATACATTATCCATGAGCTCCGTAAGCACCGTGTCTCTCCATTATGTTTGGAAACTACAAAATTTCAAGTTCATATTTTATATTTTTTTTATTATTTTATTATCACACTGGCGGATTCCAACCAAGGCAGGGTGGCCCGAAAAAGAAAAACTTTCACCATCATTCACTCCATCACTGTCTTGCCAGAAGGGTGCTTTACACTACAGTTTTTAAACTGCAACATTAACACCCCTCCTTCAGAGTGCAGGCACTGCACTTCCCATCTCCAGGAGTCAAGTCCGGCCTGCCGGTTTCCCTGAACCCCTTCATAAATGTTACTTTGCTCACACTCCAACAGCACGTCAAGTATTAAAAACCATTCGTCTCCATTCACTCCTATCAAACACGCTCACGCATGCCTGCTGGAAGTCCAAGCCCCTCACACACAAAACCTCCTTTACCCCCTCCCTCCAACCTTTCCTAGGCCGACCCCTACCCCGCCTTCCTTCCACTACAGACTGATACACTCTTGAAGTCATTCTGTTTCGCTCCATTCTCTCTACATGTCCGAACCACCTCAACAACCCTTCCTCAGCCCTCTGGACAACAGTTTGGTAATCCCGCACCTCCTCCTAACTTCCAAACTACGAATTCTCTGCATTATATTCACACCACACATTGCCCTCAGACATGACATCTCCACTGCCTCCAGCCTTCTCCTCGCTGCAACATTCATCACCCATGCTTCACACCCATATAAGAGTGTTGGTAAAACTATACTCTCATACATTCCCCTCTTTGCCTCCAAGGACAAAGTTCTTTGTCTCCACAGACTCCTAAGTGCACCACTCACCCTTTTCCCCTCATCAATTCTATGATTCACCTCATCCTTCATAGACCCATCCGCTGACACGTCCACTCCCAAATATCTGAATACATTCACCTCCTCCATACTCTCTCCCTCCAATCTGATATCCAATCTTTCATCACCTAATATTTTTGTTATCCTCATAACCTTACTCTTTCCTGTATTCACTTTTAATTTTCTTCTTTTGCACACCCTACCAAATTCATCCACCAATCTCTGCAACTTCTCTTCAGAATCTCCCAAGAGCACAGTGTCGTCAGCAAAGAGCAACTGTGACAACTCCCACTTTGTGTGATTCCTTATCTTTTAACTCCACACCTATTGTCAAGACCCTCGCATTTACTTCTCTTACAACCCCATCTATAAATATACAGTGGACCCCCGCATAACGATTACCTCGGAGGTAATCGTTATGCGGGGGTCCACTGTATTAAACAACCACGGTGACATCACACATCCCTGTCTAAGGCCTACTTTTACTGGGAAATAATTTCCCTCTTTCCTATGTACTGTAACTTGAGCCTCACTATCCTCGTAAAAACTCTTCACTGCTTTCAGTAATCTACCTCCTACACCATACACCTGCAACATCTGCCACATTGCCCCCCTATCCACCCTGTCATACGCCTTTTCCAAATCCATAAATGCCACAAAGACCTCTTTAGCCTTATCTAAATACTGTTCACTTATATGTTTCACTGTAAAAACCTGGTCCACACACCCCCTACCTTTCTTAAAGCCTCCTTGTTCATCTGCTATCCTATTCTCCGTCTTACTTTTAATTCTTCCAATAATAACTCTACCATACACTTTACCAGGTATACTCAACAGACTTATCCCCCTATAATTTTTGCACTCTCTTTTGTCCCCTTTGCCTTTATACAAAGGAACTGTGCATGCCTCTGCCAATCCCTAGGTACCTTACCCTCTTCCATACATTTATTAAATAATTGCACCAACCACTCCAAAACTATATCCCCACCTGCTTTTTAACATTTCTATCTTTATCCCATCAATCCCGGCTGCCTTACCCCCTTTCGTTTTACCTACTGCCTCACGAACTTCCCCCACACTCACAACTGGCTCTTCCTCACTCCTACAAGATGTTATTCCTCCTTGCCCTATACACGAAATCACAGCTTCCCTATCTTCATCAACATTTAACAATTCCTCAAAATATTCCCTCCATCTTCCCAATACTCTAACTCTCCATTTAATAACTCTCCTCTCCTATTTTTAACTGACAAATCCATTTGTTCTCTAGGCTTCCTTAACTTGTTAATCTCACTCCAAAACTTTTTCTTATTTTCAACAAAATTTGTTGATAACATCTCGCCCACTCTCTCATTTGCTCTCTTTTTACATTGCTTCACCACTCTCCCTTTAAACCTCTCTCTTTTTCTCCATATACTCTTCCCTCCTTGCAATCACTTCTACTTTGTAAAACTTCCTCATATGCTAACTTTTTCTCCTTACTACTCTCTTACTCATCATTCCACCAATCGCTCCCGCTTCCCTCCCGCACTATCCACTTTCCTGTAACCACAAACTTCTGCTGAACAACGTCTAACACTACATTTTTAAACCTTCCCCATACCTCATCGACCCCATTGCCTATGCTCCATTTAGCCATCTAATCCTCCAATAGCTGTTTTTATATCTTTCCCTAACTGCCTCCTCTCTTTTTATTTATAAACTTTCACCTCTCTCTTTCCCTGAAGCTTCCTTTCTCCTTGTACCCATCTACCTTTACATCTCATGTAGCTACACTAGAAAGTGATTTCTGATATATCTGTGGCCCTCTATAAAACATGTACATCCTGAAGTCTACTCACAGTTCTTATATCTACCCAATACATAATCCAACAACTACTGTCATTTTCGCCTAACATCATATCTTGTATACTTGATTTCTACCTCATTTTCTTAAAATATGTAATTACCTATAACATAAACCCCTTTTCTATAACAAAGTTTCATTCAAAGGGCTCCCATTATCATTTACACCTGGCACCCCAAACTTACCTACCACAACCTCTCTAAAAGTTTCTCCACTACTTAAGCATTCAGGTCCCCTACCACAAATACTCTCTCACTTTGGTTCAAAGGCTCCTATACAATCACTTAAATTCTCCCAAAATCTCTCCTCTCTCCTCTGCATTCCTCTCTTCTCCAGGTGCATACACGCTTATTATGACTCCACTTCCTCGCAATCCAACCTTTACTTTAATCTCACATAATTCTTGCATTTACACATTCATATTCTCTTTCTCCTTCCAAACTGATTCCATTCAATCATTACTGCTACCCCTTCCTTTGCTCTAACTCTCTCAGATACTCAGATTTAATCCCATTTATTTCCCCCCACCGGAAACTCCCCTACCCCCTTCAGCTTTGTTTCGCTTAGGGCCAGGACATCCCAACTTCTTTTCATTCATAACATCAGCAATCTCATCTGTTTCTTGTCATCTGCACTACCATCCACGCACATTCAAGCATCCAGTTTTATAAAGTTTTTCTTCTTCTCTTTTTAGTAAATGTTCTACAGAGAAGGGGTTACTAGCCCATTGCTACCGGCATTTTAGTCACCTCATACGAACGCATGGCTTACGGAGGAAAGATTCTTCCACTTCCCCATGGACCAAAGAAAGAAATAAGAAGAACCAGAGCATGTAGAAAAGGAGAAAAACCTAGATGTTATGTATATATATATGCATGTGCATCTGTTAAGTGTGGACCAAAGTGTAAGTGGAGTAGCAAGATATCCCCTGTTATCTAGTGTGTTTTATGAGACAGAAAAAGACCCAGCAATCCTACCATCATGCAAAACAGTTAACAGGTTTCTGTTCACAGTCATCTGGCAGGACGGTAGTACTTCCCTGGGTGTTTGCTTCTACCAACCTACTACTCTATTTTAATATGCTCTGATAATATACGTACAGTGGACCCCCCCGCATAATATCACCTTCCAATGCTACCAATTTATGTAAGTGTATTTATGTAAGTGGCGTTTGTACTGTATTTTTGGGGGTTTTGAAATTGGACTAATCTACTTCACAATAATCTTATTGGGAACAATTCGTCAGTACTGGCACCTGACATACTTCTTGGAATGAAAAAATATCGTAACAAACACTGGGGTCCCTGTACTTAAAAAAATTAAAAATTAAAATTAAAATTCTTTATCTCTCTGTTAAATTTACAATGTGGGGTTTACATATTTATAAAGAATTATTACATATTATAAAAATACTTATTACAAAGAAGGCCCACTAGTATGCCTAGGTATGCCTGTCATTTGGGCATGCTAATACTAGTTCATGCTCTATATTGAAACAGGAAATGGATCATACTGGGTAAAAAGGTTTAGGTAATTGTAGTAATGAAACTTAGATATACGAATTTGAGGTATTCAAATATTTAAAGAACTTAACAATTAAACTTTATCTAAATAATGAAGATGTCTTGTTTATAGGCATGATACAGTTTCTATATTGAAGGTGTCATTAAGAAACTTATGAACTAGCTTAAGAATTATGAAACAATAGCTGTATTCAGAATTTTCCCTGTTTACGTCATGTGTAGATTAGGGAGGGTCACAGAAGTTTGGTTCCAAAATGGCCTGGTGGCGGCACCATAGACGATTTCCACATCCGTGCATTACTTATTAGCATTTTTTGTAGTTTTTTCTTTTCTTTTCCGGCGGGGGGGGGGGGGGGCGTCCAATTTTTTTTTCTTTTCCTATAATATTTGGGGCCTGAGAGACCAAATACTGATATAAGTTATATACATAATTAAACTCA